AAAATGTGGCCCAGGAATGGAGTTCTGGGAGGTCGAAAAGCACGAAGTGTGCGATTGTTTGCTTAAAACGAGCCCGGCCCTGAGCCCGGCCCTCGCTGTCCGGATGCTGCCCAGACTTCCCTTCTGACTCATCAGATGCCCTCTTTTGACACCACTACAAACCTATCAGTCTTCGCTGTTAGGTAAAAATGCAACATCGCAGAAAATCACGACAGGACCCCCAGACCCCATCGTTCTGCGTCATTCTTCGAGCTGGATCGATGTGTGAGAGTCACGGGGCCCGCTTGAGCGAAATCGCCCGGTTTGAAAAACTGGAGTCGCCAGGATCTCAGCGTTACGTGTAGTCGAGGGGAGAGGGCAACAAGAGGGCGCGCTGGGGTGAGGCGGCCAGCGATCCACTCGAGGAGGGCTGCCACTAGCGAGCCGCCGGCCGAGTTGCCGTGAGGGGCCGCGCGATGCGGCACATGGCAGGGCGGCGGGGGCCCTGCGGGGAGGAGAAGCGCCCGGGCGGGGCGGCGCGGGAGCAAAAAAAAGCGGCCAGCGATCCTCACGAGGAGGCCGTCTCTGGCGATCCGCCCGGGGACTTCCGAACCTTCTGAAAAGGCCTTCTCCTTCTCACTTCCCCCCCTCGCTCGCCGCCGACCCGACCCCCGGCGTCGTGACTTTCTTAAGGGCGTCGACCCCCAGAGGTCCGGACCCCTTCTCCAGGGCCGGTTTTTCATCCTGGGTCGTTGCTCGACGGTCCCGAGGCCCGCTCATGGGCCCCCGGAGGCCGAAAATAGCGAAAAACCTCCCGTCTGAGGGTCTGAGTCCACAGCTGGGGGTCTGAGTCCACAGCTGGGGGTTTGAATTTTGTCGTCTTTGCTGGGGGTCTGAGTCCACAGCTGTGCAGGCGGCAGCAGGCTGCGGCCGCAAGGCGAGGCGACCGCGCGGCAGCGCAGCGCGAGGGGGGGGAGCGCCCAAGGGCGCAGCGCGAGAGGGGGGAGACGGCGCGCCCAGGCCCGCGGCCGGCGCTCCTCTTGACGAGGCCGCCTCCAGCGAGCCACCGACGGAGCGCCACGGGGCCGCGCCACGCGGCGGGCGGAAGGGCGGCGAGGGCCCGGCATCTGAGCGGGCCGCCAGGGCGAGGCGACGCGGGAGCCGGAGAGCCGAGGGCATGGCGTTCTCAATCCGGCGGCGTCTCCTGGGAGTCGGCCTCTGGGGCCCGTGATCGGGCCGGGACCATCGGAAATCGATCCGGGGCGAGAAAAAGGCACCCCTGGGGAAGGGAGTGGGACCTCTGCTTGGATCGCCGAGGGGGGTGCTAAGAGGATAGGGGCATACAAGTGGATGCTAAGGTGGGTTCTATCCAGCCTGACACAGCTTGGAAGTGGGTTGCACGTGCCCTAAGGGGCTTAAGGGCGTACAGCTCTGGGCTAAGTGGGCGGAGCCCACTTGGCGGAGTTACCTCATCATCCAAAGCCATATAGGGCACTGGTACCCCACTTTGAAGGTGGTTTAGGCAAGATCAAACCGCCGACCGCCGCCGCCGCGCTGCGCGGCCACGCGCGCCCATAGGCCCGCTCCCGAGGGGGTGCCGCAGCGCACCCCCTTCCGAGGGTCGGGGGGCGAGCGACGAGCGAGAGCAGAAGGAGGAAGACCGCCATCAGCACACAAACTTCTGGCGCTCCGCGCGGATTTCTTGGGTCCGCGCTGGGCCCCCCCTCCCTGGCGCGCGGAGCGCGCCAGGGGTGGCGCGGGAGGCGCCGCCTGGGGGGCCCGGCGCGGATCCAAGAAATCCGCGCGGAGCGCCAAAAGTGCATGTGGATGGCGGTCTGTTTTCTCTTCGAGACAACAGACCAGCTCGCGCCGCAAGAGCGGCAGTGGAACTGGAGGTCCATGAGGCGGTCAGGACAGACGGAGACGATGTCCGAGCTGCTGTCGGACCCCCGGCTGAGTGGCTGCCTGGCTCGGGGCCCGCGGGGCGGCCCGGGCTGCGCCGACAGGGCTGCCGGCGTCCGGCGGGGAAGCAGGACCGCGGAGGCTGTCCAGGCCGTGGCAGGGGCGGGCGCGCGCGGAGAGCAGCGGACGCTGGGCGCGGAAGACGGCGCTGAAGGGGCCCTGGGACACACAGATGAATAGGCACAAATTCCAGGACCCCCCCACTTTTTCCTCATTCTCTGGCTTCGCAGTTTCCCCCCCCCACTGCCCACATCTTCCCCGCATGTTCCTGGGGATCGGCGATGAATTGTGTCTGTGCGTTTCTTCTCATCCTCGGGTGATTCTTCTCATCCTCGGGAGCTTGCTGCCGGGAGCGGGCCCCGGCCAGGGGGCGAGCAGCCCCCCCCGGGCGGCCGGGGGGCAGGGAGATCCGGCCGCCAGAAGCGTTCCCCTGCACCTGGCGCGCGGGTCGACGACCCCGCCTGGCGCCAAGCTGGAGGTCCAAGTGTTTTTATGTTTCTCCCCTGCGCCGAGCAACTCTCCAAACTCCGCCGGCTCCACGCATCGCCAATTCAGGCTGGAGGTCCAAGTGGACTCCCGGCCGCGCTGCAGGGCGCGTTCGTAGCCATTGAGGGGGGCAGCACCCTGCGCAGGCAGACATCGAGGTCGTCGATGTCGGTGATGGGCCTGGTGGAACGGCGCTCCGGTGGGAGAACTCAGGGCAGGCCCCGGCAGAAGTGGCAGGTAGCGGCACCGGTGCTGACGCAGCAGCCGCAGTAGGGGCACACAAACACACACACACACACACACACACTCACACACACACAATTTTGCGCCGGCGGCTGGGCAGAGTCGCTGCGCTGGCGATGAGGCGTCAAACCACACACACACACACACTTTTTTGGTCGGCGGGTCGGGAGCGGGCCCCTTCCGGTTCAGAGCTAGGCGGGGCGAGCGAAGCCCGATCCACACACGCACACACACACACATCAAGAAACGCATCAAATGAGTCACCGCATCGGCAGATGTGGTCAGACGCACTGTGAAGTGACGCGATCTGGGTGTCGGGCGTGATCTGCGGCCCGCGGGACAAGACCCGGGAATAAGAGCGGCTTCCCCGAAGCACCCAGTCGCCTGCTTGGGACGGCCAGAGATCTCGCTCTCCCCGGGAGGGCCTCGAGAAGGGACGCCTTGTCGCAAGCGCTGGCCATGGCTGACGATGAATCGATCGACGAGCGCGTGCCAACAGAAACGGCCGACGCACTGGCATCGTCGTCGGCAGCGTCCCTCTCGCGCAGGTCCACGTGGCCGACCTTGAAGACCTCCAAGCGGCCGAGAGAGCTTTCTCTGGCGGTTGCCCCCTCCCATAAGAAACACCGCGAGGCGATCGCACATGAGCAGCGCACAGATGGGGGCAGGGAGAGGGGGGAGCAGTTTTCGAGGAAGGCGGCGGGGGGACTTCGAAGGCAGCGACCCCTTCAAGATCATGCTCCCTGCACCTTCTAGAAGGCGCGGAGCACCATCTTAGAAGACCGACTTCTTCCTTGCCCTGCTCCGGCTCGAAAGCCGCCAAGCTCAGTGGAAAAATAAAAATGCCCTGTCAGTGAGCCTGACAGACCTCCTGGCAAGGAAAGGCACAAGCGCTGCCCAGTGGAGAGAGGCGAAAGAGCATCGAATGTTCGGCTCTCGGCACGAAGACTCGCCGCGCTGAGGAACGTCCTAGGCTTCGGTCGGGCATGTTCTCCTACAGGCGGATTTTGGACGAAAAAAATACTCACCATGTGTTCAAAAACAACCAAGAATAGTATAACAAAACGTCCCTGGCATATTTTCTGACTATGTTTGAAGACTCCTTCTGTAGAAAGACAGGCCCGACCTAATCCTAAACCATGCCCGCAAGACTGCGAATGCTGGAGAGAACTCCGACCTCAGACCCACACCCTCTCACTGCGTGGAGGTGACCAGGGAGTCTGAACTTGTTGGGCCCCCAGAAAATCGGCCAGGAGGGAGGGGTGGAGCCAAGTCTGCTCTAAATCGGTACCTGGATCCCTCCCAGGACCCACCTGGCTAAGTGTTCCAGTCCAGAGAAATGTTCACAACCCCAGGGCCCGCAAACGACCCCCAGAGGCCGATATATATATATATATATATATATATCATTACATCTATAGTATGCACACAAATATAAATAATTATAAAGATATAAAAAGTTATTAATTTAAATTTTCGATATATACTACAATCTGTATTAACTCATATATATATATATATATCAAACATTAAAACATATAATAAACATATCTATATGTATTAATGCATACATACATACATACATACATACATACATACATACATACATACATACATAATACTTACATACTTACTTACTACTTACATAACTTACATCATACATACATACAACATCAGATACATAGATACATAGATATATACATACATGCATACATATACATGCATACATACATTGCATGCATAAATACAATACATGCATAAGTAGATAAAACCATATGGCATTATATACATACAAACTACATACATTACATACACACATACATACATACATACATACATACATACATACATACATATAAACATGAATACATTTAAATACATATAGACATATTGTATATATATAGAGAGAGAGAAAGTTTATTTAAATGAATATATAATATAATATATATATAGATATATACAAATATATAATAATATAATATATATTTCAAAAAAAATAATTTAAACAAAAAAAAAAAAAAAAAAAAACAAAAAAAAAAAAAAAAAAAAAAAAAAAAAAAAAAAAAAAAAAAAAAAAAAAAAAAAAAAAAAAACGAACCGTGCCCGCCCTCCCGAGCCGAAGCGCGGCCCGGCACGGCACGGCACGCGAGCACGGCACGAGGGCACGGCACGCGAGCACGGCACGCCGTGGCGCTCGCAGCCTTACAAAAAAATCAGGGCGCGGCGCGGCGCGGCACGGCACGGCACAGCCCTCCCAGTCCAGAATTGAAGGGGCCCTGAGACACACAAATAAATACACACAGATAAAAGGATTCCCATATTTTCCCATATTTTCTTGGTTTTTGTCTTCCTCCCCACTTCCCATATTTCCCCATCTTTTCTTAGGAATCGACGATTAATTGTGTCTGTGTGTTTGTTTCCCCTCCTGAAGAATCTCGTCAGTCACGGAGAGGCATGCGGGGGCACGGCACTGCACGGCACGGCCGTGCCAGCTGGAGATGCTCCGCATCCTGGGCTCCAGAAACGCAAAGTCTACCCCCTGCAGCGCTCGCCGTTTCGGGGATCTGTTCTGCTCACCGTAGCCCCAGGCGCTCGCGACCGGAAAAGTTCGCTGTGACGTCGACGGCGGCGTCGGCGCGCGCTAGCTGCGCGCCGGCAAGCGGCGACCGAGCCAACCAGCTGAGTATGGACCCGCCACCTGACAGGCGCTTGGCCCACGGCTTGACGTCGACGCGTCCAAACTTCCGCTGCGCACGAGCGCGCCGTGGCCCCTGCGCCTCGTAGACCGCAAGCCCTGCTGCCAGGCGGCAAAGACTTGGCGGCGCGCAGAAGGGGGTGGAGGGAGGGGGGAAGGCTTCTTAGAAGGAGGCTGCTTCTTAGAAGGCGGCGGTCTTACATCTATACATAAGGACCGCGCCTTCTAAGAAGCAGGGGTGCTTCTAAGAAGCCTTCCCCCCTCCCCCTACCCCCCTCTGCGCGTGGCCGAGAGACAACCTCTTGCGAGAAGTCTGCCAAAGTCAGACGAGATGTTGACAGCACCGTCGGCACAACAGTGACGCCCCTCGTGGACGGGGGCGGCGCGGCGAGCGGCACAGAGCTACATAAAAAACAGGGGCGACGTCGAGCTGCCAGCAGCCCCGAGAGAGAGGCTCGTCACGTGTCCTAGCTCTCCCGGGCGAGCTCACCAGGCAGCGGGTTCCAAAAACCCTTAATCCAAAAACGGTTTCACACCTTGGGAGGTCGACTCTTTACTGCCGCCGCCTTCTGCCAACCTTCCACCGCTTTCCGCCGGCTTCCGCCGGCGGAGGCGGCCTCGTTTTACTTCCGCCGACTTTCCGCCGCCCTTCCGCCGCCTTCCGCAACGAAAGAGATGGCAACTTCTGCGATCCTCGAAGGTAAGGCCCTTTCTGGAACGCCTCAGGTGACGAGAGGGGCATGCGAGCTATAATGCAGGGGCATGCGATCTGAACGCACGACTTGGAACCTGAAGGCAGCTCTGAATCCCATGTCAGCGCAGACAGATTTCAGCACCGTGCATCATCAGAGTTCAGCACCGTGCAGGGGGTGTCGGCCACTGCCCTCTGCTTGGAGACTCCCCGCTGGCCGGCGTTCACCACTCGCCAGCGGCAAAGGCCTACCTCGACAATAGCGACGACAGCAAAGTCACGCAGCACAAGCTCGCGGTGGCAATGGGTTCAACGGGATGGACCTGACAGAATGAATCCGCGACTGTGCCCCCTGGCAAGTTCAGGCGTGGTAGAATGCCAGGTGCTGCCCGGTAGGGTTCTGTAAGTCTTCTAAGGGACTCCCACCCCCTCCCCCCGCATTCCGTTACGTACATCGCCCTTCTCTCCCAAGTGGCCCCAACGTCTCACTGGCGGTTTCCAAAACGTCCAAGGTGCTCCAAATGGTTTCCAAGACGGGCCAGGCCGCCAAGATAGCACGAGATGTCTCAAAAGGGCCCAGGATGGCCCCAAGAAGGCCGATGGTAGCCTCAAGACGGCCCAAGAGACCCCGAATGCGGCCCAAGAGATTTCCAAGAGAACTTCAAGGAGGGCATGCAGAGGTCACATCATTGCTGTTCCGTATGTGCTTGAAAGATTTTCGCGCTCTCGCCTTTTAGGGCTTCCGTCAGCCCAAGACGACCGCAGAGGCCGCAAAGACAGCCCCAAGAGGGCCCCAAGAGGGGACACTCCAGGGCCCCGATGAGGGCCCCCAGACGGCACAGAGAGTCCCCTAAGAGGGCCCGAGAGGCCGCCAAGACGGCCCAAGAGGGCGCCAAGACGGGGCACTCGAGGGCCCCGGGGCCCCAAGGAGGCCCCACGACGGCACAGAGAGTCCCCCAAGACGGCCCAAGAGGCCGCCAAGAAAGGGGGGCCCAAGACGGGACTCTCCAGGGCCCTGGGGCCACAAAAAGGCTCCATCACGGCCCCAGAGGCTGCCACGACGGCCCCAAGAGGGCCCCAAGACAGGACACTCCAGGGCCCCGATGAGGCCCCCAGTCGGCACAGAGAGTCCCCCAAAACGGACTCTGGAGGCCGCCAAGACGGCCCAAGGGGGGCCCCAAGGCGGCCCAAGTAGCTCCCAAGAGGCCACGAGATGCCCAGAAAACATTCCAGAGAGGCCTCCATCCAAAAGGCCCACGAAAGGTTTCCAAGAAGCCCCACGAGAGGAGGAGGGAAAAAGAGGAAGGCAGAAAGAAGACGATGAACGAGAGAGACACCCCGACACGACGCGCAAGCCCGTGTCACATGTTGCGGGTCTTCCAAGCCTCGAGACGCGAGGTGCCACACGTGATGGCCTCTATGTGCTCATCGAGCAATCACCACCCAGAGTGCTGAGCTGGCAAGGTGGCGGGACTTGCCGAAAGCAGCTGGATACAGAGGGCGCTTCTCGGGAAGCCGTGGAACGTTCACGATAAAGACGATGCGAACGGATAACGTTTCTACTGCAGAGGCTAGGCGGGGCAGCCAGGCACGGAAGCCTTGACGGCGAGGATCCCCAACAGGGGCGCGACACGAGGACGGTGAGAATGGCAAACCCAGGGTCTACCAGGCAACAGACGGCAGCAGCCCGCTGCGGTGCCACCCCCATCAGACTGAAACTGCGATGAGAAGTATCGATGAACCAAAAAAACATGCAAGACGCAGACCCTCGCGAAAGTCCAGCAAGCCCTTCAATCACTCCGACGAGACGGCGCTAGTGCAGCTCGATGTCAGCTAGCTTCTTGGATCCAGCGAAGATAACGAAAATGCAAGACGCCACAGCTGCCAACGCGGCGCCAGAACCCAGACCCAAACCAGAACCGCAGCAACAACCAGAAGCACTAGATCCACTCGCGGCCAAGAAGGTCATGCGAAAGACTATGCGGTCGCAGAGCCGATGACCGAACCTCATGTGAGCCAGCGAGTGGCCCCAAAAATACGACGCTGGCTGACTGAGACGCTCCCGAGCTGGACGAGGCCCAGCGCTGAGGCGACTGACGCAGAGGATTTGTTCAAATTGGCGCAGAAGTCCCAAACGCACAAGCTCGTCTGTAAGAGAACACAAGTTAAGTTTCAGATGCACACGA